CTGAAGACGACCATTGAAGTGCAGCACAAAAGACAATAAGGCAACAACAAAACGAGGGACTGAACCAACAAACCTGTCATTGTCAGAACATCAACGATGTCCTGACTGCAAATAGAGAATGTCCAAGTCACAGAGAATTCAAAACGATAAAGACTAAGCCATTCCTTTGGCACCGTTCCACCAGATCTTCTGCTTCCACCAGGTCGTAACATGTTCACATCTTACAAAATGACAAGATTACATTGAGTATTCAAGTCAAGGAATCAAAGGAAATAACGGGAAGGGAATACAGAAGATGAGAGTGTATTCATTACACTTTAGTGCTTCGCTTTGACTATTAAGACGTTGGTTATCAAGTGATAAAACCAACCCCAGTCCGAATTCTTCTAAGTAGAACGAATATATTGGCACAAAACTTCTGGTTTTAAGTACAATATTTTATACTTTCCATTGCATAATATCTGTGAATACATGATACATTTGAATTGAACAAGATTTTGGCTTTTGATATCACCATGTATCAAAGAAATTGGTCATAATCGACGTCTTGTTACCTGCAATCACAGAGAAAATGAGATGATTTCCATTTCTTCGTATAAACAACTATGTGAAATATAGATGCCCAACATGAATCATGTTGCCTACCTCTAAGAAACTTGAGTCCTTAGTAATCGTGTCTCAGATTCTTGGATGACGAAAATTTCACTGATTCAGGCAAGAAAATGATCAATGATATGCTCTATGACATCTGCTCCTTCTATGTGCATAAATTCGTTTTTGACCTGTAATGGACATAATACCACATGCTATCAGGCTTCATGTTTTTAACAAAAGGCATGGGGAGAATAATCCTATAAGAACGAATTGACACCATGCTAACATTGAAACTTAATTATTGAGATGAAAATAAACAAATATCAAGAGAACACGCAATTAAAACCCTTAGGAGGGTGTAGAAACAAAGGTTATATCTTAGGAGAGGGATGGCGGGAAAGAGTGAGAGACCTGTATAACACTATGAGCAGCGAACCTCTGCCTGCTACTGTGAAAGCTAACATCAACTTTTTCCCAAGAGACAGAGGAGAGGCCTCTGATCATTTCTTCTGCAAAATCAGAAAGGCACTGCATTATTAAAACTCCATGACGAAAATAAGAAAGCAGAAGCACTACATGTGGTAGTACAACATAGGAATAGTTTGTACTTAGCACTAACATCTTTTACCAGCTAATGAGATCTAAATC